TGCACCTTATCTCAACACATTCATACCCTTTTTCACACACATAAGCAATGTTACAAGGGCTCTCAAGGTTATGCGGTGCAACAGCAACATCTGCATTGGCAAGACAAAGAGGCATTGTAAATCAAGCAATTAAGGCCTCGGCCTTCAACGTCCTTTTAGTCTCAACACAGACACAATATCAAAAACTATCTTAGGCCCATTTACTAAACTCACTAAACTTTAGGACAAAGAAATAAACATTTAACTAAAAGGACTTAATTTAATGAAATATTAAATGTGTATTAACATACACCTTATATTGCTATATTATTGCTACATCATTAAACTACATTACTATCTTACCAAACCTAAAATACAAATATAAAAAAACAACAAAGCTTTCAGTCCCAACACACTGAAGTCAGTTACTTCATATGGGGTGCCATGAGGGTGGCTGGATTTACCGATACAGAACCTGTTGCAGGATCAGCCCTTTAGACTGTAAATTCTTTGGGCCAGTGACTCTTTCCAAATGTGTTAAACATGTAGCTCATCCTAACTAGAAGCTCTAGTCCTTACTGCAAAAATATCAATATAAAGCAGCAACAACACTTTGGAACTGGCTATGCTATTACACAGTTATACTTTAAAACAAATGGGATATTAAATAGATACTTTAGTTTTGACAGTCTGGGTGTTTCTTGGCTTGCACCTTGCAACAAATGATAAAAAAGAAGAGATGTTATCGCCAAAGAATCTAAAAGCATTTATTCAGGAGTAATTTAGACTTTGGGAAATGTCCAGAATGCATGTTACACGGTGCCAGGGTAAATATTTGGCTATTCTCCAACACAAGTTCTGGAGAACACAAGTGAATAATGACAGTATTTTTCCTGCTTAGACACTCACTTTCAAATTCCCCTCACAACCAAATGAGCTTAACTTACATGACTATTTAAATGGCCCTAAATAAAGGATTTAAAAAAAATTACCTTGGATCAATTTCACTTTTGAAAATATTTTCTTTTTGTCTAATTTAAGAAGAAAAATAAATACATAAAATTATATATAATATGACCCTACTGTTTCTCTTAAAAACCATTCCTGCATCTAATGTCCCTGTGAGAGCTTTTGGAGAGAGAGGAGAGAGATGAATGATTTAACCCATTATTTGATCATAGAAGGTTACTGTATTTTCCTTTTATAGTGTTTGGAATTGGTAAAACTGCCCTGTGCAGCCTAAACCATTTCTGATAAAGCTGACAGATCCAACAAAAATACAGGTTGAACCTCTTTAGTCCAGCACCCTTGTGACTTGACTGGTGCCAAACCAGAAATTTTGCTGACTTATGGGAAGTCAGTATTGTCTAAGAGCTTACTGGGCTCTTAGAAGACATCTAGGTATAAATTAGAGACAAATAACAGCACAGAACACCGAGAGTCAGGACTGGTGGCTGTAAACAAACTTTGAGGCCACGGGAAACTTGGCCACTCTTATGGTAAGTGGACATCCAGCAAACTAAATTCATGCCAGACCACGGATATTGCTAGGCTAGAGAGTGCCGGACTAGGGAGGTTCAACTAGTAGTTTGAAATTTCCAACATGTCTGTAAAATTCACCATGTTTAAGGAAAACAGAAAAAGTCCTTTGAAATCAGAGCTTTCTACCAACTATACATTAATGAGGTTTTTTACCTTTTGCATACAATGTAAAGACTGCCTTATGATTCATCAATACAGAAAACTGTCATCTGCTAATGGGTAGGTGGCAAGTTGTGATCACTCGTCCTGACAGGCTAAGAACTAGGCAGAGGCCCACCACAGGGCTTATGGGGAGGAGGCAACTGCCCTGGGGCTCGGCAATTCAAAAAGGCCAATAGCTCCCGGGCCTTTAAATTGCCACAGGAGCACAGTGCAGCCACTACAGGCAGCACTGATAGCTGGAGGGGCACACCACAATCTGGGTGATGCTGAGGGCTGGCCCTGGCTATGCCCCTTCCACCCAAGGCCCCACCCCTTCCAGGAGCTCAGAGCTGGCACCCCCTCACCTAACCAAGGAGCCCAGCAAGGCTATTGTCTCACCTAATTAGTCCTATGCTACTATTTTCATGATCCCACCTTCTCCCTCTCCCCTCATGGCATGGTTGTTTGTTTCGTCCATCTGTTACATCTTGTGTTTTTATACTGTTAAGCTCCTTGGGTGGGGACCGGGGATGTCATTTACTATATATTTTTACAGTACCTGGTACAATGGGTCTTCGACTTCATAGTGCCTTTATGCACTACCAGCTATAAATTTAAATAATAAAAAAGAAACAACCAACACTGTATTAAAGAGCTCTTCATCTTTCCCACCTATTCAGTTGAAATTCGCTCATTATGCAGTTCCTCCTTTTATATCTTTTTTCCTCCCATCGGGGCCTTTCCTGGGACAAACAATGTGGCGATTTTATGATAGTGCTCTCTGTTACCTCTTCTCCTCTGTGAAGAGCCAATCATTCATCAGAGCCCCAAATCCCAAACTTTACATTAGCGCAGAAATATTTTGGTGACCTATTTTTAAGGTAATGCAAGTTCAAGGAATGATGACATAATGCATCACTCATAACCATATGCCAAGGAAGTTCCAGATGGACAGCTATTGTGAGCGTGCTTCCTGGGAATTAGATCCTCAGCATGTTTGATGCCTAGGCTGAGCTAGTCGCTTGGCTACTTACATTCCTGACTATCTGCTGCAGTGGCAAAGTGCCTACTTGCGAGTTGACATGTCAGTTTCAATAAGGCATAATACCAATGTAAAAAAAAAACCCCTCATGCTTACATAACACTTCAAGCAGCCTCCTCTGTAAGGAATCCCTCCACTCTCACAACAATGTCATATAGCTCTTTTGCACACATCAAGTTACACTTGTGCCAGACTTCTGGAGTACAGGAAAAGAAGGCAGTGGATTCATAGCTGCCAAGAGGACAGATCGCATAGCAGTGGGAAACTGGAAATACATTATAATAGGTTTGGATTCGCTATGTTGGTTTAAAGGAGTTCAAGTGACCTGCACATTGTGTAAAGGTAATGTAATATTGGTCTCAGGTCCAGCACCGTGCAGTACAGGAAAGTGACAAGGTAAAGTAAGGTATTCTAGTCACAACACAGCACAAAATATTACCAAAATACTTTAAAGTGTTGTGGAGTTCTGTGTTTTCCTGTCGCAGCTGTTTCCATATAAATAAGTTCAGATTACAATAGTGTACATATTTTCTTTTTCTAAGTGGCAGGCCCAAAAACCTCAATTTGGGATTTGAAAGGCAAGCTGAGTTCTTTCCTGCTTGCACATGATCACCAGTAATAAAGGTTTTGTAAGCCAGATTCTGCCTTTAGTACATCTGTGTAATCCAATTTTCAGTGGACTTGCACAGGTGTAAATGATTGAACATTAGTGTGTAATTTGGCTGATGTCTAAGAGGAAAAAATTTAAAATATTCCTTAGCTGAGCTGGCTTGAGAGTTAGCTGAAGTAGTCTAACTTCTTTTTCACCCCCAACTAAGGTAGGATTATAAATACACACATGGAGCAACTCTGTTGAGTACAAGTGTCATTATTATATAGTAACTTCAGAAAGCCCGTTCTAGCCTGATGGGGTGTGACAGAGCTTTTGCCCCAGTCATCTCCACCAAACAGCCACAAGGCCTGCTGGTGATTCACCTATTCTTGTGACTCAGCCCTATGGCTAGTTTTCATATAGTCCCACCTCTTCCAGGGTAAGCCAGGCCAGACATCCAACAAAGAGCAATTCACAGATGTCACTTGGATGCTGCAGCTTACCAGAGAGAAAGAGAAAAAGGACAAAAGTTGAAATTGTTAAAGGAATCAAATACATCCAACCATTGCAAAGTTCTTGGTTCAGATTTGTAGCAGTGATGGAATAAAGTGCTAGCTTAAGTCAAGTCTCTGGAGTACATCTGCAGCTTGGATGGGTCATTCACACTTTTAGTTAGAGCTTCAGTTTGTAGCACAGATTCTCCAGAGGTAAGAAGCAGGATTGAAGACAAAATGGAGGAATTTCAAGGGCCTTTTATATCTTCTGCCATGTGGAGGGAATCCCATTGTTCTTGCTGTGGAAAAGTATATCCCAAGATGGTGTGTGGAGTCACACGGGCAAGTCACCTGTCCAAGCATGACTCGGTTCTTTGCAGGTAGAAGCCATTACTCCTATGTTAGTCTGAATGTTCACAGGAAGGGTTATCAGCTGTGGATTGGCATCATCCAGAGCCCATTGTCAGTCAAGTTCTGCTGTTCAGCTTGAATTGACCCTTCACAATATATTGGCCAAGCCTCCTGTTGGTGTTTCTCAGAAGCAAACATTGAAATACAAGTACATAGCCAGTACTCATCAGTTCAAATACAAAAAAGATACAGATACACACATGGCATAATCACAACCAGCAAATTATAAGCTTTTCATAGACATCTCATTTAACACACTTTGTACAAGATTTGTTGTAAATATATAAAAGTGGTTGCCATAGTGATCTTTATGGTCATATTTTAATCTGATAATATCACCAACAGATATTATCAACAAAATCCAATAATTTTTCCGGTACATGTGAACTTCCCTCCTCCTCTTCCCCATTTCTTGGGGGGAAGCTTTGGAGTTCGCATGTGTATATATAGATCAAGAATATTGTGCATATTGATATTAGAATACAAAGATTAATTTTGTGGTATATAATTTATTCATAATTCATAGTTCATAATTGTTCCTCGTGAATTGGACAAACATTGAAGATTAATATAGAAGTTTTTTCTTATTGTAGGCTGGAGGAAACATCTCATCTATAATTTCTTAATTAAAATGGATGTGCAATCATAGAGTGAAAGAGAAGCTCTGATTATCTCTCAGTCAGGCCAAGACATTTTCCAGTGGCAATTTAATGAGCATTTTATCACGGCTTCATATCATTATTTTGCCTCTTGCAAGATGCAGTGATGGATATTTACTTAACACTTTTATTGTTTTCAGAGATCTTGAGGGATCTTACGCATGGTGCAGAACCCTTGCTGTAGAGTGGTGTTGTGAAATGATCCATGGCATCAAACCACCCAGAGGATCAATGATCAGTAAAGATTATCATGGAGGGAAGGAAGATGCAGGAAAACAATTGTGATAACAAAAATAAACTCAAGTCAAAGTAGACCGAAATTCAAGTAAGTTTAACTTTTTCCTTATTTGTCCATCTTCACCTGCTGTAACAATGCCTGGTTCCCCCTACTAGGACTTGAATTGGAAATGCCAAAACATCACAGAAAAGGAGAGCTGCAAGACTTCCAGACTAATTTTGTCAATTTAGGAGGCCGACAGTATTGACTTCTTCTTTAAACAGAAGCTTTAAATGTCTGCCCATCATCTCTAGTTATTTTCTAAATAATTAACTAATACTATATTCCCTCTCCCTTGCCCTCACTACTTACAGAAAAATCAAATTATAATATAATATTATTTGGACATATACAGCACTTTTGTAATTACAATAACTTAGACACACTTTGCAATAAGTTGTAAAACCCTGAGGCTACGTCTACACTGCAGGCTTCTTGCGCAAGAACTGTTTTGCGCAAGAATTCTTGTGCAAAAGGTCTTCCACAAGAGCATGTCCACACTGCCATGTGCTTTTGCGCTACACTGCAGGCTTTTTGCACAAGAACTGTTTTGCACAAGAGTTCTTGCGCAAAAGGTCTTGTGCAAGAGCGCATCCACACTGCCATGTGCTTTTGCGCAAGAGCATCCATGGCAGTGTGGACGCTCTCTTACAAAAGAAAGCTCTGATGGCCATTTTAGCCATGGGGGTTTCTTGTGCAAGAAACCCGTTCCCGTCTACACTGGCTTTTTTGCGCAAGAGGGCTTATTCCTTGTGGGGAGAAGAATAACTCTTGCACAAAAAGCCCTCTGTTCTGGCGCTTTACTGTAAACTTACTTGCACAAGAACACACCTGCAGTGTAGACACTCCGCAAGTTTTTGAACAAAAATGGCTGTTCTTGCGCAAAAAGCCTGAAGTGTAGACGTAGCTTGATAGTGTAGTGACTGCTTAGGAAAACATGACAACCTTTCAAAGCTGTACTAAAGCAACAGATGGAATGCTGATGAGTGCATTAATTGCTCTGCAAGCTGAGTAGGGTCTACTTCTAAGCTAGAAAAGCACTAATTACAGAACGTGCAGTAATTGTCTGCAAGACTCAGTGGTATCTGAGCATACAGATGTCCTCTCCTGATCACACGGGCAAGAAGAAAAATACTAACTCCTTCCCTCCTTCCACCACCACCTTTCTGGCTTTCATTTGAAAGGGACAGAACATTAGTGTCAGCTTCCAGACTTACCAGGGAACTAAGAGCATAGAACCTCTCCCTGAAGAAAGGTGAACAACTGTTGATTGCCTTCCTTTAATCTTGCCAAACTCCACAAGGCAGGAGGGAGAGCAATTCCTAACCCAAGTGAAGAAAAAACTGAATAGGGAATCAAATTCGGCTTGAAAGGCAAACTCCAAATATGCACAAGTGCCAGATTTTTTGAGGCTCTGTTGGGGTGAGATTTTAAAAATAACAGAAAATGTCTTAGGTTTTTGTAGCCCAAAAAAACTGCAACTCAGAAAGAGTCCTGATTGGTTTGCACCTGGACTGAGCCTTCTCCTGCATCTGCAGCTGATTGATCCATTTTTCCTGCAAGCTACAGCTGCCAGACCCCATCCACCCAGATCCTGGCTTTCAGACCTGGCAGGAGGTCCCACAGGAGGTGCTGATTGATAGCTATTGTTGCATCCTGGCTTGCACCAGTTTCCGTGCCACCCTGACAGGAAATGACATTGCCCTAACCTCCAGAAGCTCCATTTCAGATTTTGGGAGGGAGGTGACCTGTGCATACCCTGATAGTTGGGTAGGGGGCAGAAAAAAGGCATGGGGAGGGGGGGCAAAGTACAGACAGTAGCTTTAGCAGTGTTACTGAGAATGCTCAGTACAAACCAAGCAGCAAATCAGTGGCAAGGAGGACCAGTCCTGTCCACCCTCCCACACACAAACATCACCACTTTCCCGGGGCTACTAAGGTACTTGAAAACTCTATTATTTATTTATTTATTTATTTTATTTGGGGGAGGGGTGGAGGTAACTTCGCAATTAGCTGACAGGAGCAATGTAGCTATTTCCTAGATACAAGAATAAATATTAGGTTAGATCCATTTAGCTCTAATACCAACACATTCTGATATCTTGTAGCAAGTCACTTAAGGGACACTGGTTATGCTTAAAATGTTAATGTATATTCTTACTTTGATACTAACTTCAGAGAGACACAGAAACAGGACTCCTGGGCTCTGTCTCAGCTCTGGGAGGTGAATGGGGCCTAGTGGTTTACAACAGGGAGCAGATACATCTGAGTTCTATATAAGAATGTCAAAATGCCCATACTGAGTCAGACCAATGGTCCATCTAGCACAGTATCCTGTCTTCCAACAGTGGCCAATACTAGGTGCTTCAGAAGGAATGAACAGAAGAGGCAATAATCAGGTGATCCAACCTCTGTAGTCCTTTCCCAGCTTCTGGCAAAAAAAAGGATAGGGACACCGTCTCTGCCCATCCTGGCTAGCATCAATTGATAAACCTATCGGTTCTTGAACTTATTTTGTTCTTATTGGAACTCTGTTATGGTTTGGGCCTTTCTACCACTCCCTGGCAAAGACTTCCATAGGTTGACCGTGAAGAAAACTCTTTTGTTTATTTTCAAATTGCTATTTATAAACTTCACTGGTTATTTTCTTGTGTTATATTGGTGACTGAGTAAATAACATTTCCTTATTCAGTTTTTCTATACCATTCATAATTTTCTACACCTTTAGCATATCCCCCACCCTTTAATCTTTTCTTTTTAAAGATGAAAAGTCTCAGTCTCTTTAATCTCTCTTCATATGGAAGGTGTTCCTTACTCTTAATCATTTCTGTTGCCCTTTTCTGTACCTTTTCCAAATCCAATACATCTTTCTTTTAGATAGGGTAACTAGACATGCATGCAATATTCAAGATGTGGGCATACTATGACTTTATGTAGAGGCAATATGATACTTTCTGTCTTACATCTGCTCAACACATTTGCTCATTGTATCCAGGAAACTATCCACAATGATTCCAAATTCTCTTTTTTGACTGGTAGCAGCTAATTTATACCCACATCATTTTTGCATGTGTAGTTGGGATTATATTTTTCCAGGCGCAATTCTTTGCATTAACATTAAAATCCACCTGCTATTATGTTGCCCAATCACACAGGCTATGTCTATACTATGGGGCTTTATCGAAAAAAGGTACACAAATAGTCCCAATAGTTTTTTTGGAAGAGATTTTTCTGAAATTTGGCCCATCTACACTAGACCAAATTTCAGAAAAACCCCTCTTTTGGAAAAGCCCTTCTTTCTTGTGGGAGGAGGAAGAAAGGGCTTCCGACAGAGCACGTCTACTCTTCTGCAAAAAAAAAAGGGGGGGGGTGGAGAAGAGCAGGCGCGTTCCCTGGATGGGGTGGAGTTTTTGCAGGATACTGATGGTATCCCGGTAAAACCCCATGGTCTAGACATAGCCTCAGATTTTTGAGATCCCTTTAACTCCTAGCAATCAGCTTTGGACTTAACTATAATTTTGCATCATCTATTAATTTTGCCACCTCACTATCTATCCCCTTTTCGAGATCATTTACAAATAAGTTGAACAGCACTGATCCCAATACCTACCCTTAAAGAATACCATGTATTTCTACTCTTTGTTTCCTATCTTTCAAATGCAGTATCTAACAATGTGTTCTTGATTATCTAAGATCCCTCACTTACTTATCTTAATTACTCTTACCTCCCTCTATTTATAAACAAATTGCATTCCCCCAAAGGCAAAGCTGTTGCAGTTACAGCACACACCTGAGCCCCAGGTGCAGCAGACATCAAGTATGATATTCAGAGTTTCAAACTTCAGGAGGAGCTAGCCTAGCCCCATCTAAATGTGCCCCTGTGAACCTCCAGTGAGTACACCACCATCTCAGCCTTTCCCCCCAGCTTCCCCACACCTTCAGCAGTATCCTCTTTTGCGGAACTTAAAATATGGCAACACTATGATGGCCCAGAAAAAATACCATTCATAACAAGTAGGGATTGAAGTAGGTGTCATCTCTTGGTATGTAAAATGAGTTTGGCCTGTGATTAATCAGTTCTTAATTAACGTATCCATTTTTAGCAAAGCCATCACAACAACTGGCATCCTATGTCTAAACTGCATTTCTCTTTCGAGAGAGGAATGCAAATGCAGAGGAACGAAATTGCAAATGAAGCTCGGATTTGAATTTCCCATGCTTCATTTGCATAATTGTGTCCAGGCGCTATTTGGAAATACTCTATTTCAAAAAAAGAAATGCTGTCTAGACACGGTTATTTTGAAAGAAAACCCTTCTTTCGAAATTACTCTAAAACCTCTTTTTATAAGGAGGGTATGTCTACACTACAGCGTTATTTCGAAATATCTTAACTTATTTCGAATTAACAATTTTGAATTATTTCAAAATAATGTGTCTATACACAAAATGCAATTTGAAATAGCTTTTTGCTAAATCAAAATAGCACTTCCACACTGAATGGATGCTGAATTGCATTTAAGGCCAGCTGAAACTGGTTCCGGCAGGGCATCAGGTCAGTAGTTGCTTTGTGTGGCTGCTGTCTGAGGCTATCTGAGGCTTGTGCTTAAAGGGACCCCCTCTGGACAGCCAGTTCTCAGATTTCCCTGCTTGCTTGCCTACCTCGCTGAGGGCCAGCAAATCACTTTTCTCTCTGTCTGCTTCGTTGCCCTCACTCGGGACACTACAGCACTCAGCACCATGGAGCCAGAGCCACTCCTGGGCACTCTGGTGCTTCTTTTGGATATTTTGCTGCAAGCCTGGCAGCAAGTGCTGGAGACTGCCTGGCACCATCTGCAGCAGCCCAACCCCCAGGTCCTATTCCAGAACCTCCTGGGGGCCGTGAAGGAGCAGCACCTGGATGCCAGCGTACCCCGCTGCATCTGCTGGTGGGACCACATCGTCCTGGAGCGCTGGGGAGACCAACAGTGGACCCAGAACTTCAGGATGAAGAAGGGCACCTTCCTTGAGCTCTGCGAGTGGCTCACCCCGGCTCTGCAGTGACGGGACAT